CAGTTTGATTGGGCTCCAATGAAAGAGGGAGACATGAGGTAAGTTTTATCATGAAGTAAAAATTAGTGTATTATTTCAAAGACATCTTCTTTTTCAGAGACTGACTCATTTTGAAAATGACAAACAGCCTGCAGCTTTTCAGTCCTAAAATCCACATTAACAGGTTGATATTTCATAGAAAAAAGGAGAAAATACTGTACAAACTCCTTAAACTGTATTTAAACACTAGGAGCTCTATTTATAAAAATTCCCATAGCTATTCATCAAGCAAAACTTCATTTACATTCGTTCTGTGTAAATTAACCCGCATTTGCTGATTGGTTTTAGGGATTTTTTGCACAATGTATAAAGTTGTGGCTGTTGTGTGAACAGGCAAATATACTTAAGTTACAAATAGACCCCCAGGATTAGGCTGCATTTTAAAAGTACACACAGCATGCATCGTTTGTACACAAAAATCCAGATTGAACTGTATATGTATTTCACATAATCAAGTATTAAATATTGTACAGACTCTATAAACAGTATTCAAACACATGGAATAGGCTGCATTTTCAAAATGAAACACAGAATGCAGTGTTTAGTGGAAACATCCATATCAATATGTATATATTTCACAGAATAAAGGATCAAAGTTATACAGACTCCTAAAACATTAAATGTTTGAAGTAGGTCACATTTTCAAAATGGCACACAGCATGCAGATTTTCAACCAACACATCAACACTTGAGTGTATATATATATATTTTAAAGTATACAGGAATCTATATTGTACAGACTCCATAAACAGTATTTATACACTTGAAGACACATTTTCAAAATGACACACAGCATGCAGCTTTTCTCCCCTAAAATCAACACAAGGGCTTATACATTTAATAGGATAAAGGAATATATATTGCACAGACTTCAAAAACAGTACTTAAACACATTGAGTAAGCTACAAACTGAAATAGAATGCAGCGCATAATCTTAGCACAAAGATAAAGACCACAGTGTACGTATTTCACAGAATGAAGGAATAAATATTGTACAGACTCTATTAACAGTATTTAAACACTTGAAGTAGGCCACATTTTCAAAATGCCACACAGGATGCAGTTTTTGTAGCTTAAATACAAACACTAGAGTGTATATATTTCACAGAATAAGTGAATTAATATTGTAAAAACACCAAAAACAGTTTTTATAGATTTATATTAGGCTGCATTAAAGACACATAGTGTGCAGCTTTTCAGCCACTAAATCCACATTGAAGTGTATAGTTTTTACAGAAAAAAAGTATGAAATACTTCCAAAAACACTAGAGTTTATATATTTGACAGAATAAAGGAATACATATTGTACAGACTCCATAAACAGTATTTATGACACATATCATGCAGCTTTTCAGCCCAATAATCACCTCTAAAGTGTATATATTTCACAGAATAGATAAGTAAATATTGTACAGGCTCCATATTTAAAGACTTGGAGTAGGCCAAATTTTCAAATGTCAGATGAAGTCATTGAGGAACATAGGGGTTGAGGTGACTGAGCTGTTACCATCACCAAGTTACAGAACATGGAGCAACATCACTAGCTTTACTGGTTTGTCCTGTCCTGCATTCTTCCCAGCCAGCAGCAAATGTACCCAATGCATCATAAGATAGATGCAACATCCCTACCCATGTTTGTTGTATGACTTGTCTGCTGCCACTGACTGCATGGTCCAGAAACAGGGAGTCATTACCTTCCACGTGCTGATGGAAGGCTGGGATTGCCTTATGGACCAAAAAAAGTGGTTTGGCATCTGTCATTGTAGTGGGCCACTAAACTTAAAGCTTCAGGTCTAGAAGTTATCTCTACCTGTTGCAAATCAGCTTTAGTGTAGCTACGTCTGTGTGCAGACACAATTTATGCAGAGAAACAGATTTCTGAGCACACCTGAAAACAAGCATAATCCATCAAATCACAGCAATTCCAGCAACAGATTCCACACAGTTTGTATTTTCTACACAGTTTGTAGTTTCACAAGGACAGTTCAATACACATAAAACTCCAACACATGCACAACTTTCCAAACTGTAGAAATATTTGCTTGTAATGAGTGAGATCAGACATATCAAGACTATTACAGCAGATCATAATTTGATCCACAGTTGCTTTAAAAACAGATATAGTCTAATATTACAGAGCCAATTTTTCCAAGCAGCATACACGGCCAATTCAGTGGAAATTAGTTTGGAATAAATGGTTCTAAATTATGATGCTGTATCTAAGCTGTGTAATGGTGGATGCACATGGACACATGGGGCCATACAACATAAAGATGGTGTGTTCTGCCGCCCGGAAACCACGGGTGCTGTGCACAGCAGCACATAGAAATCCAAGGTTATATGTGGCTATAGGCGGGTTTACTTTGGTGAAAAAACACAAACAAGGGGCGCCTTTCCTGGTGCAGACAAATTTATTAAGATCAGGATCAGAGGTAGATAAAAGACATACTCACAAAATTCAGCATGATAATAGTATAAAAAGTAAGTCCATGGACCCAAGAGAAAGTTTGTGAAAGCTGCACAGCCGTGTCTATGTGTCAGCAGAGGAGACTGTGTGATGACACGTTTCCGGGGTCATTCCCCCTTCATCAGATGCTGACCACCTCCGTCTCATGTGCTAAATATAGTGGCAACTGGCCAATCTGCAGGTGTGCGGGACCCATATCGGCTCAGACCGCAGCTGCTAGGAATGTGTGTAGAATGTCATCCATGACTATAGAGGTGGAGCTCTGTCCTGTGACTAACGGAACAGCCCATCCTGGCGCTGGACCAATCACAAGGAGGCTATATGTGGGCTCGCCTGGAGGGAGTGGCCCATGTTATCGTCCAATACACGGGACAGAAAACCGGACCATGTTCTGCTATGCAGCATAGCGATTGTGCAGCATGCCAGCTGTACAGTGAGCACTATGAGAAGAAGGTGGGCTGTGTACATAAAACGATTTATGACAGATACCATGACAGATGTAAACAGTTTGTATTCAGCTAATATAAAGGCTGTGTAAAGGGGTTTACTTTGGTACCTGCATAAACATGCTCATACATAAAGACATATGTTCCAGGACCCAGACTGTCTGGGGATATGAGTCAATACGTACTATATGTCCATGTTTACAAAAGTACCGGCATATACCTGTGTACAACCACATACTGCCATTAATTTCTATGGGCTGCGGTACTGAGCACCTGTGGCTCCCAGGTGGGGAAATTCACCCACATTTTATGTTGTACGGTGCCAGGCACCCATGTGCATGAACCCTAATATAAACCTGGGAATATATACTGTTTTATGTCTTTACTGTGCTAACATAGTGACATTTATGTAGCCACTGGAAACAACGTCAACACTTATTTTAAGCAGGATAATAGTGGCTCTACTTACATATGATATGTTGGAATCATTTTCAGAAACAGAAAAGAACTTCCAATGTTTCAACTCTTACAGGTCTTAATTAAGCCTGTGTTAAATATTGACCCTTTACAACTGGCACCTGCAATAAACTTTGATTCCTTTGAATATATGTCAGCTTCTTGACTTTCTGCTCAGCTTAGGTTGTGGATGCCTACATGTAATTTTGTTTTCATTATTTTATTTTTACCCACAAATCTGCCATTTTGCTGCACAAATACCATCCATTTTTAAACAATTGTGCCAATTTGGCAATCCCCTGTATACGCAACAGAGAGGTCACAAAAGTTTTTAATTAATTTACATTCTATGCAATGCAATAAAATATTATACAATAGGATAGGTTATATATATATATATATAT